TATACGATTAATAAGATAGACTGTAGTTTGAAATATTGTTGACCAAAAGATTGATGGCATAGAGGCTTGATGTAGAAGTGTAAGACCAGTTTCAACTATATGACGATGTTTGCATTCGGTAGAGCCAACTAGTTAAGGAGTATGTGTGGGTGACTTGAGGTGTTTATACCACTAGCTGAAAGGTAGGATATGAGGGCTTAATATTCACCTCCGTCATCAGAGTAAATTATTTTAATTATAGATTGAAATAAGTTCTCCACCAACTTTCTAAAGTCGGTAAAGATTATTGAAACTTTAGATTTATGATGGAGAGGATATAACCATGTATACTTAGCAAAATAGTCTACGAAAATGACAAGATCTAAACTTATCAAAATAAGTGGTTGGGGTAGGGCCTCAAACATCGGTATAAATAATTTCAAACGGTTTAGAGTAAGATATAAATGATGTTCTAAAAAATAGTTTATAACTTTTAGTGCTAAGACAAGCATCACAATGAATTATAATGCTACTTGTTTTAAAAGTAGAAAGAGAATAACGAAAAAATAATTTATGTTGGATAGAGGATGAGAGATGATCAAGACGACGATGTCATACATCAATTGGAGCTACAACTCAAAAAGTAAACAGTGGGCTGGGTTATTTGTGGAGCTAACAACCACTCGTAAATGTTATCTTTATTCTAGCATTAAATCAAGGATGCCCCATGCTCAAATCCTTGAGAAGAAAAGAGTTAGGAAAGAATTCAATTGAAGTATTATTTTGTTTGCAGAATTGAGAAACAAAAATTAGATTTCTTTTAATCGATATACACATAGAACATCATCGAGTGTAAAAGTTATAGTATGTGAATTAAGCATTGTGGAACCAGTATGAGTAATGAGGATTAATTTATCGTCACTGATGATGATGTCTTCATTTCCGCCATAGTTGTTGTGGATGGACAAATTCTATAGATAAGAGGTGATATGATGAGAGGCGCCAGAGTCCATAATCCAATTATGTTGACTAATAGTCGGAGTAGTTATGAGATTCGCTTGAGGCCAATTTGATGAAGCAGGAACTTTGGGTCGAGATCGATAAACTTTTGTGGAGTGTCCAACTTTATCACACAATTGGCAAACGACTCTTTGTTAGTTTGTGTGGTCAGGACACTAGGGTTGATGATTATTGAAGTTGCCACATTGATAGTTATTAAAGTTGTGATTAAAATGTTGATAATGTGGATGAGGGGAGGTTTGTTTGGCACCCATAGGTTCAAGAGGCATCTTGGCTAAACCTTTGTTGATGTTCTTGTTATACCGATTGCTTTTCCTCTTGAATTTTTGACTGACTTCAGTTGTGATGTTTGGTTCTGGCAACCCATCATCGTACTTTAAATATGTCTCATAGTCAGTCAATTTGTCATAGAGTTCTTCGAATGATATCGGTGAGTCACTGCCTAAATTGTTGTTACTAGTTCCTTGTACTTATCTCCTAGGCCCTTGTGGGTGTGGACTATTACTTCTTTGTCACTGACGGAATGACATATCAAAGCTAAGTCATCGGTGATAACTTATGTATTTTATAGATAATCAACAATAGTACTTCCCTCTTGTTTTATTTTTATTTTATTTTTATTAGACTAGATATGAGACTAAGCATGCGAGTACGCAAGCGACTTGTTAAGATGATTTGCAACTTGTACCATGCTTCTGCAATAATATCATATGAAGATATGAGTGGGCTGATGGATCCAACAACCGAGGCTTGAATTGCTTGGAGGATGAGATGATCTTGGCATAACCACAGTTTGTGGGTCGGATTTGGTACTGGACTAGGTTTTCCTGTGATGTTGATCATCACTGGTGGACAATTGAGAGAGTCGTCAATGTAGCCTAGTAGATCATATCCAAATAGGAGATTAAAAAATTGTGTACATGAAGATGCGTAGTTACCGCCTTTGGATAATTTGATGGGGATTATAATTGTAGCATTGACGGAGATAAGACTTGTACGTTGAAAAGTATTATGGTTTCTTGCGGGGACATTAATTGGAGCATTAGAGATTAATTGGAGCATTAGAGATAGGCGATGAAGACATTCTGAGGATAAGTACCGATCTGAGGAATCTAAGTTGAGAGTCTGCGGCAGATCAGCAGGGAGTCGCTTCTTGGGCAGGTGGTGGCATTGGTGATGATCAGTCTCGATTGCCTCTTGAACTAAGCAATATTGCAATCCCCAGATGAGAAGAAGCAATAGTAGATCTCAACAGACCTTAGCAGAGATCTATTGGTGGAGGAAGAATTGACAAGTTTATGCTACGACTACAGATCTGTGAGAGATCTGCAGTTCTTATCGTAGATCGGTGAGAGAACTGTAGTTTGTGTCATAGATCTATGTTGCGGCTGCAACTTCTGTGAGTCACAAGGAGGGAGAGTGCTAGGGTGCGATGGGGCGAAGAGCATGACGTGGCTGGAGAGGCAGGGCGACGTTTCTTCCTCCTTTCCGCTTCTCTGTTCCATGGCGACGAGGGCATGATAGCACTGTAAGTAGTAGTGTATTGTAAGTTCACAAGCTCACTATGAACAGCGGCATCTTCGAGTGAGAAATCGACCACAGTAAGGAGAAGTTATGCTTTTGCAGGAACGACGATGGGATGTTAGGGGTAGATGAGCGATTGGAGTAGAAGACGGAGGCGCCGCAAAAGCAATTAAGGTTCTTCGTCGGGAGGTGGCAGGACTCGATGAGGAGCGATTGCTATCGTCGGATAGCGAGAAGAGAGCTTGGTCTAAGCAAGAAGCTCTGATATCATGATAAATTGGAACGTGATTACAAAACTTGATAAAAGTTTATTGACATGATTACTATTTATACATGTTAACGAGATATCTTCGTGCAGATCAATGAGATTTCTTCGTGCTGGGAAAATCTTATATGTTATCACTAAGAGTGGATTTTATTCAAGATTAGCCAGATATAGATCTTCCTTTCTTACTCTCATTTCTAGCCAATGGAGATCAAGAACTGAATTAACGAAGAACAGAATAAATGTAATATAAAGATTACAAGCATACAACTGAGTAAATTTAAAATACAGATTAGATGCAAGCAAGTGGTGTGATTCATGAAAGAGGAAACAGAACTCAGCAAATGGAATAAGGTGACCAACAGAAAACCAAGAAGTTTTCGGCTTCAAGAATCATTAAACCAAGAAATCAAGAATAGAGATTGAAGCATTTAGTAAAGAAAATTCAGAATTATTCCTTTTTTGAGCAATCTGGAAAGCAGAAACCAGTGACATCTGATCCAAGAATGTGTTTCGTCTTTTACCTGGAAATCGATCTGTGATGCCTCTGAAGAGGATCTCGATCAAGAAGCAGGGATCTCCCGCTCTGCTGTCGGAAAGGCTTCCTTTCCAACGTGCCGAGATGGGAAAGAAAATCTTACCGACGCCACGATCCTGGAGGACGGCCGGGCTGCTTGACGCAGTGGTGATGACCCTAGTTGTTGAGTACTGCTTCGAGGAGTGGCCGCAGGACGATCCATCCAGTCCCCCGCCGCCGTCGCTGCTGCATTTGCCGCTGCCATCCCCGGCTGCGGACGCGGAGACCGCAATCTTCGGCCCTTTCTGAAGCTGCGTACGCATAGGGATGCAAAAGGAAGTCGGTGCGGAATGGTCCGGTTCGCTTGCTTAGAGTTTTGAGTTTTGGTTCGATCCCCGCGGTTCGTCTTGGAGCTCGACATCTCCGGCCGGAAAGCCGACCGGAGCGCGGAGTATGAGGTCGGAGGCAGCCAGCTGATGACCATGCCGGAGACAATGAACGTTCCGTGTTTGGAGAACACAGTGGATGTAGTAAGACGTGGAAGACTCTGCCGCCGACGGTTCCAGCTATCAAGTCGAGGTAGTAAGATGTGGGGTAGCCGTCGCGGCCGAACGTCAAGTAGCCCGCGGAGCTCGATTTCGACAGCAGGCAGTAGGCGAAGACTCCGCCGCACTTTCCGTCGGCCTGCATGACCAGCGACGTCCTGTCGCGGCCGAGGCCGAGGCCCAGCAGCCCCGCAAGCTTCCCGAAGAATCCGCGGTTCCTCTGGCCGCACCCCAAAGGAAAATTGGGAATTACGTCGGCGGAGGTTAGCGTGAGCTTGTCCTGGGCGAAGAAGCCGATGGTGTAGTACTTGTGGCCGTACTGCCCCCCGTAGAGGCAGGTGGACGAGCTGCAACCGGAGACGTCGAGGTCGGAACAGTAGCGGAGCTGCATGAGATGCCGGAGTACGTAGACGAGCGAGTGGGCGTCGAAGATAGGCTTTTGCTGCCGGTGGCAGTAGGAGGCGCATGGCCGACACTGGATCCAGGTGATGACCTCCTGCTTCATTCATAAATAATTATTTCTTATTCGAATCATATTCGATTCAGAATAATAATTAATTTATTAATTTTATTGAAGTTCAATCATTAGTGCAAAATCTTTAAATCCAAATTAACCACTTTACTATTGTAGACTTGTTAAATCAGGTGTGTTACGATATTAGATTTCATATGTTATAATTGGATGTGTCAAATATTAGATTCCATATGTTATAAAAGGATGTATTAATTTTCTGAATCTAAAATGATATGATCTAATATATTTAATTTGAAATTAATAAGATATCCATCTAATATTTATAAACTGATTTAAATCGGGGATGTAAGATTAAATAGAGGTGTTACACTAAAACAAATCTGGCCGACGCTACGGTGATGGTGGTGGTGGTGGAAGGGGGCGGGGGGTGTAGTTGTTGAGGACTGCTTCGTGGATGGTATACCGGTGTCGCCGCCGCCTGCCTTCGCCGCCGCCGTTCCATGCTGCGTCTGAAGCTGTGTACGAATCGGAACGCACGAGGGAGGCGACGGTCCGGTTCGTTCGCTTAGGGTTTTGCGGTTTTGGTTCGATTCCAATGGCTCGCTAAGACCGGTTCGGAAGCTATTAGCTCTCTCTCTCATTCCTAACTTCGGCTAATTAAGACCGGTTCGGAACCGAACCGGAGTGGAACGAAGACCCGGCAATTAAAGCCGACAGTTCCTCGTCAGGCCTCGAGGCAAAGGCGACGCCGCTGCGGCTCTCCCCCGAGCTTGGCCGCTCCTCCGTGTAGGGCAAACGATCTCCTTTGCACCGCTTCGAAACCTCAAGCTGGAGTCTTATCTCCCTCTTTTGAAGAGGTTTCTTCTTGGTCCACTTTGTTACCTTTCTGTGCTTTTTATTTTCACAGACTGAATTTAGTTTTGCGACGTTTTGATCTTCTCATTCGAACATGCTGTGTTTTGCTGTATCAAGTCGACAATTTTCTGCCGAATCGATATTGTAAGGCCGCGCTCAATCTTGACTCTGATAGTAATAAGCTTCTGTGTACTCCGGATGCTGGTTGATTGAGGAATAACGAATAAACGATCCGTGGCGAGTGCTATCAGCTCTTTTGGGATTCAAAATTGATTGGTACAGTATAAATCATCAGAACATTTCTGCTTTGTTGGATATGATTCTGATAAAATGATTGTATAGGCTTGTTCATGGAGGTCATTAAAAGCTGGAATTTTGATGGCAGAGGGGTTGAAGGATTTAGGTTCCTACGGCTTCAATCACGTCAGTCTGCGAAAATAAATAGGATTGGAAAATGCTAGAGACGTAATTAACTTTCTTTTAATTACTTTGGATCCGTGGAGATAACAATGTCTTTCAGAGAAGTGAGATAAAACAAGTTGTCAAAGGATCAGTGATTTTTCCTTTGATTACGTGATTGGTGTATGACTATGTGTCAAACGTTAGCTGCCTTTAGTTTCACCTAATGTTCTTTTGCAAATTACATGTGCCCATCTTCAACGTAAATGACGATGTTAACATTAATGGGTTATCAATTGTTCTAAAATTGTTCCTACACTCATTTTCAAACTATGTAACCATCCATAAATTTCTTAGTGTCTTATTCCTTGATATCGCATCTTGTAACTTGTGGGTGACCTGGACATTTGTCAAATTGAATATGGGCATATATAGGTCTGTCTTTGATTTAGAATCTATTAGCCTTCCCTTTTCATGATCATATTTGGGGTTAGAGATATCGGTTATTAGACTTTTTGTTGATTTAATGGTGGTTTGGTATGTTTCTATTGGAGCATCTAAGTACACGTATGTGCATGGATTTCATTTAGAATTTTCTCTAACATCATTTTCTCCTAGGATACTCGTTTTTAGTTCCTTTGATTACAGAGAAATGCTTTGGTCTAGAACTCACAGGAGGACATCTGTAGTTTCCATATGACCATATTCAAGCATTCGTCCGGCATCTTGTTTGTTTAAAATGAGATCACTGCTGTCATAAGTATATGCTTCTTTTATTAAATTTTTGCACAAAAGCATGTTCTCTTTAATATTAACTGCCTCTAAAAGATGGCTGTCAATTGGAGCCTCTTATAGTTTTCCATGTGTGTCTATTATATTTGCCTTTTGTATTACTCATTGAATTTCATGATCATAATCCTTAGGAACTTTTGACTGAAAGTTGTCATGTTTACTGGTTTCTTCTGGTATTATCTTTTCAAGCATGTTTTGGAGTACTGGGTCGTTTGGTGTATTTTATCTGGAATTACTTTGTCTGTGTTCGACATGTTTTCTGTGTTGTTACATGTAGGTGCTGCAAATTCTTGGGTTGTTTAACTCTCATCACCATTTTCTAGAATAATTTAGGTTTGCTTACTAAGAGCTACGTTGCCATTCTGGATAGGATTTTGGAGATGCGTTGCTGTCAAATCAAAGTGATTATTGACTCACCTGAATGTCTGTAATTCTAGAAAATTCTTTGAAATGCCTTGAAAGATGCACATCATTGAGATCACTGCAGCAAGTACATGCTCAAATATTCCTCAATGGGTTTAATCGTGATAATTATGTGGCAGTCAAGCTGATAACCTTTTGCAATAAAAAATTGGGCGAGAGAGGTTATGCTCGCATGATATTCAACAGCCTTATTACTTCTGCAAATGTTTTCCTTTGGACAGCAATTATCACATCTTACTCGAGCTATCAATCAGAGGTAACCAGAGAAGCAATTATAATATACAGAATGATGCATCAAAAGGGATCTCATCCAAATCATTTTACACTGTCCTCTGTGCTCAGAGCATGCTCATTTTTGAAGGCCATACAAGAAGGCAATCAAATTCATGGTCATTCTACTAAACTTGGATTTAATTCCTCCATTTATGTCCAAGCAACATTAGTGGACTTGTACACAAAGTTTGGTTGGACCCAAGAAGCTTCACGACTGTTAGGGACTTTCCCTGAATATAACATTGTGTCGTATAACACGGTGATCACAAGCTATATTAAGGCTGATAATATGAAAGCTGCACGAGACCTTTTTGATGAGATGGCTGACAGGGATTTGGTCTCGTGGAATCTTATGATATCTGGCTATGCAAGTCGTGGAGATACACCAAGTTCTAGAGAACTCTTTGATCAGATGCCAGAAAGAGAGATTAGTTCCTGGAATGCACTAGTTGCTGGGTACTGCTGTAATGGAGAATGGGATGAAGCTATACAACTTTTCAAGGAAATGTGCTTAGCAACTGTAAAACCTAACCATATCAGCATGGCCATATTGATGTCTGCTTGTGGACATTTAGGAACATTAGAAATTGCAAGACAACTGCATGGATTCTTGGAGAAAAGTTGTATTGAAATGAACTGCTATGTGTTCAATTCATTGGTTGACATGTATGCTAAATGTGGCAACGTATATGAGGCTTTTCGGGTGTTCTCTGAGATCCCAATCAAGGATGTGGTGTCATACAACATAATTATCCTAGGATTAGCCAGTCATGGGCTTGGGGAAGATGCCATAAAGTCTTTCTCTGAAATGCTAGATGCAGGGATCCAACCGGACACAATCACCTTCCTGGGCATCTTAAGTGCATGCAGCCATGCTGGACTCATCGAAATTGGGCATAGATACTTTGAATGCATGAGCAGAGATTATGCAATTGAGCCATCTGCTGACCACTATGCTTGCATGGTTGATCTATATGGTCGAGCAGGACTAGTTGAAGATGCATATGACTTGGTAAAGCGTATGTCAATTAAACCACATGCAGGTGTTTGGGGAGCCTTGCTGAATGCATGCAGGATACATAGTAACATAGATGTTGGAAGAGTTGCAGCTCAGGAACTATTTCGGATTGAGCCGGTAAATCCTGGTAATTATGTCATTCTATCTAATCTGTTTGCTAGAGCCCATTTGTGGGATAGGGTTGCTGAGATCAGGCGCTTGATGAGAGGGAAAGTGCCCAAAACAGCAGGCTGCAGCTGGATTGAGGTTAATGGTCAAGTTAATGAGTTCTTGATAGGAGATGCAACACATCCACACAGCAAGAGCATCCATGCTGTATTGCGGCATCTGTCTTTGCAGCTGGTATAGGTAATATCAGCTTGATCCCAATGTTGAGTTATACATTTTGATGAAGGTTGGGTACTCTGGTCAATCAGTCACGAGAATGCAGCTGGGTATAAACTTCTAGGAGATGGACAAAGTTTTACATGGTTCAGAGTCATCTTGACGATGGTTGACTTGGATGATATCTTTGTTACAGGACTTCCTGCCACCAATTGCTCCCATTACAATACCTTCACTTAATGAGCTCCTGAGGAAAACATTGGTAATGCATGATTAAGAGAAGGGAATCTTCTTGAGCCGCACCTTCTTTATCAATACTTGTGGAAGGATCATTGACATCTAGAGCTGTTCTGCAAATCGATGGGATCAGCAAGAATTGGTAAGTAGCCTGAGGATGACTTGACGTGGATTATTCATGGTTAGGGGGTAATGGAATCAATCTTCTTGAGTTGCATGTTCTCTGTTCAACAGTTGGGGGAAGGATCACCAGCTCTTGGAGCTGTTTTGTGCAGTAATGGGTCATGGTATCAGCATCAGAAAGGATGGCTGAGGAGATGGATGGCAAGGGAACTTTATGGGCAAGTCATGCGGGATTCTTCCCTTCACAGAGAGAGAGAGAGAGACAGATGAACCCCCAGGAGTTTGTCACCTTGTGACAGGGGAATATATCACTGTCTTGTTGATAAGAAGAGGATTTTGGTGCAAGGAAGCGGATAGCTGTAATGGCAATGAGTGGCTGCTCAATGGCACCCTGATTTCTTTTTGCCTTCAAGGAATTTTTTGCATATTTTTTTTTCAAAGATTATAAATGCAGTATTTGACCTTGTAAATTTTGTTATCTTAACATGTATCTCTCCCATTAACACTCATTGAGAAAAACTCAATCTTAATGTGACAGAACTGCAGTCAACATTAGCTCCACTGAGTTGAGAAATATTAAAATGCCTAAGATGTTCTTAATATTTATGTTTATCATAATAAATGTAAGAGAATACTAATGCCGTTGGAAGTTCGAATTAGTTAACGACGAAGATTAATCATAATGATATATAAGTTTTTAGTTGTTGTGCTGATGCATATGCTAAGCATAAATTTATAAAAACAAATGCCAAAGTCACTCTTTTTCTAAGTTTTCTCATTTTTACTCTTTCTCTGTACAACAGTTCTCAATTTATTTCTGACTATATACATAATGTTTGTAATGATCATATAATAGAAATAACTTAATTAGCAAAGATTTTGATAATTTATTCTAAGGTTGTTTGAATCATATTTTTCACTACTTATTCTTTGAAAAAAATTATTGTCTAATTCTTTTTAACATAATAGATATTGTAATCCAAGTTCCAAAAAAAAATCATATATTAGTCAAAGAAATAAAGAAAATTCATTTTGGATACATAAATAATGCAGGAGATGCATTTTAGAAAAAAAAAAAAAGAAACATCAAGAATTTTTTAAAAATTAGAAATTTTTTATAAAAATTCTGAAACATTTTTTTTATAAAAAATATTTTAGTTGTGCATTAGATAAATCCACAAAGGAACCCTCAAAAGACATCTTGTTCATCATAATTAATGGAGATAAATCATGAGAAATAATGTCACACATAAGTCTCAGATTGTGCGTGCAAAAAGAGGTTCTCTTATTTAATTAGTAATTCTTTTTTTTTCCCTTAGGGTTAAAAATGATCTGAAGCACACTTCATGATGATGATGATGATGATGATGATGATGCATGCATGCATGCATATGTGGCCTTGCAGTGAGAAGAAGCGTTCATCACATATCTTAAGTAATGGGAAGCTGCATGGTCTTGGTTCATGTTTTCTTGGATACCCCAAAATGGTTTGACTTTGCTGGTTCTGCAAGCAGCGTTAGGTGAGGAGAAAGGCAGAGAGCAACATGGCGGAAGCCATTAAAGACAGAAGCAGACAAGGAGTGAGAGGAACAGGTTGAAGAAAGGCGAGGGCAGAACATAAACCCTAATAATTACAGTACATGGGGACAACAATCAATCGCGTGTCACCTCTCCCTGTCTACATTGTACCGAGCGTGTGGGCTGCTTGTATTATATATATATATATATATATATACATATATTGATAAGTTTCTTTTATCTTCAGCATTTAATATATATATATATGTCATGTTATGATAATAAAGCTTTCAAACGAGAGAGTAGGACAGCCTCCAAAGAACCCTAGGAGAGCACCTTGATCCAATGTGAGGAAGTAAAAATACTTGCATATACACATTTCTCTTTAATCTTATCTTTTTTTTTTGTTGCAAACAATTTTAGCCCTTATATTGACTTAAATTTGAAATCAGTTTTTGCAAATAATGTCTTTAATTATTCTTCAATCCTAATATTTTAGCACTTGTGCCTTTGAAAATCTCATATCAGTGCACTCCGGTTTCTGAACATATGATGATTTGGATCCCTGAAATATGTAGATTAAGCAAAAGTTTGTGTGTGAGGGTGTGTTGTTTAACTTTCCTATGGCCTCTGGAGCTTAGAAGGTAGCAGTAGAGAACTCTAAGAAGAAGTTGGAAGTCGGAGAATGCTTATGCCATTTAGCTCATCTCTTTCTTCTATCCATTCCATCAGACATGTAACCTGTGACCAGTTACTGCTGCAACTCACTTCGGCAGGCCTAAAGATCTCTGCACTAGTGAGGTCGGAGCTTCATTTGTTGGAAGGGATTGCTATGTTAGAGATTGGAGATGAGAGTGACAGAACCAACAAGTGGGCTTCTTTTTGCGTATGCATCGGTGTTTCTCTTTTCATTGAGCTAATTACTCTCAGGGCTTTTCATAATAGGGTGTCATCCTTTGGTCCCCATGTGTTCTTGAGTGTGTTGCCTTTTCCTGCCTTGAACTCCACTCAAGACTTCTTCCTCAACCTCTCTCTTTTTCTCTCTCTCACATTCCAAAGTTATTATATATTTTGTTTGGCGAACACACTGCTTTACTGATCCAAGGTTTCATGTTGGGTGGGGGCAGTGGTGCATGGAGCCGAGTAAAGGAATGGACGCTGGAAGAAGTAAGGTGAGGAAGGACAGGTTATATTTTATGGAGAGAGAGAGAGAGAGAGAGAGAGAGAGAGAGAGAGAGAGAGAGAGATAGGGAGGGAGATCCGAAGATAGAGAAAAAGGTGGACTTTTAAGCATGTCAAATCAGTGCACCCAAAGAGAGGTAAAATTCAACAAAGAAGAACAAGTTATATTTGTTTGGTTGTTTGATGGGGGCATTGTGATCCCCCTCAGGGCTCTTTTTCCATGCCATTTCGCGTTGGCATGTTCTGCAGCTGCCTGTTCCCATTAACTTCTCCTTTTCCCTTCTCCTGATGCAGTTCGGGGCAGAGGGATGAGCTGCAGATTCTCTTTCTGTTTTGGGATGAGAGCTCTTCAGTTTCCACCAGTAAGATCTGCTCCACTTCTTTATGCTGGCTGGTTGTAACACAAAGGAAAAGGTCTCCTCCTCTTCCTAATCTCCTCCTCTCTAATAACTACATGGATATATAGATTCAAAGAGATTTTTTCCTCCTCCTTCTTCTTCCTGGCCATGGTCTTCAGGTGAGCGAAAAGATGGGGAAGAAAAAGATTTTGGAGGCTGTTGTTGCTGTGGGTGAGGAGTCAGAAGTTGCGTGCATGTCCTAAGCATGGTGGCAAGTTAGGCATGTTAATGAGTGTTATGATCAAAGGGATCTCTTCATGATGAGGGGCAGATGTTGGTGGATTGCCTTATCTGGGGCTGTGGCTCTGAAACATTCCATCCATTTTGTCAAATGGCCTCTCTCTCTCTCTCTCTCTCTCTCTCTCTCTCTCTTCTTTCTTC